GGCAGTGTAATGCTTTGTTTATGCAACTATCTGACGTTTGGCGGTCACTTTAGGACTTGTCTAGGCCCTGTACACGTGGGCTAGCCTTCGGGCCAAGCTCAGGCCCATTTCTCCTATTGCTTTCGGAATACATGTATTCAACCCCACTTATGCCTTCTACTACCCCATTGGAAGCCTCGGGACGGTAAAAGTGACCATTACCATGACTGCCGGTTACATTTGTACCTGCTTTGTCCATGTACGTGTGGGCTTGCCTTCGAGCCAAGTCGAAAGCCAGTCTTTCCCTTTTCCCCTCGACTACGTGTTCAGCATTACTTAGTACCCTCTTCTTCCAGATAAGATTTATCCTGAGGAACCTCATTCTACACCAGATATGATAAGAAAGAGGCCTGGTTCTTGGCACCATCCCATTCGCGTTTTATGTTGGCGTCTAAAGTGAAATTTAGTTTCCAGATTTATCAGTCACAGGTAATGGTATTACAATAACCCTCTATTAGGTTCAAGGTGTATGTGTACAAATTTTTTAAACAATTTATGTTGTGCTGCACAAAAGATGTAAGAAATTATCTTCGATTTATTTCTTAGTTTCTCGTAATCGTATGTACTTTTAACAAAAGATATGCTTAATGTTGTATTGAGTGTTCAGCCCAATAATTTTGTTTTATTACACATTGTTTATCCCATCATACCAGCACGGGCGGTGTTGACGGTGGGTGGGTCTCCGCTCGCGTGTGCTTGGTAGGTTTCATTGCCCATGCTGATGGCATAGTATTCATTTTTAGACTTCCTATAGTGATCTTTATCTGCATTTACGGAAAGGATTTTGGTGGGTATTTAAATATGTCGGGACAAGCTACTAACACAATAAGAGATCCCATCCAAAGGGAGTCATTGGCGAAACGGTTGGCTCAGCGAAACCTGTGCTCAGTTAGATTGTCAAACCTTCCGAAGAGATATAACTACCCTTTTCTCCTGGAGCTTGTGCCCGATATGGTGGCCTGTCGGATGTTCTACGATCCGATTTTCCGAAGGCCTAGGGATCACGCCTACATTGAGTTTTCATCTAGTGAATGCGCGTTAAAGTGTGTGGATAGAGTTAATAATAAGGAAGTTCTGGGGAAGAGGTTGGTCGCTACTGTTGGAGGTGATCTTTCCGAGAGTGTCGGTAAAACAGCATAGGTCCTTTATGCGGCAAGACGACTATATTCCCTGTAGTGTACGTCTGTACAATCTCCATTGGAAAACTACGAAGGGTGAAGTTGCCAGACACTTCCCTGGTTCTACTTCCATTAATGTGTCAACAATGATGGCGAAAGGTCCTGTTTGTCGAAGGCGGTCGGGCGTCGCGAATCTAATGTTTGGTACAGTCGGGGAAGCGATCGCCGCAGTTGATGAAAAACAGGGTTGTGTGATACGCGGACGCAGGATATCTGTTCATTTCTGCCCAAAAAAAGCTAAAAGGTAAGCAATCTTCCGCTTTTCACTTTGTTAGCGAAATTACTGGTTTGGTTGTATACGGGTTGAAAAAAACTGCAACTGAAGACGAGGTACGCGTTCTTTTTCCTCAAGCAAATGAAGTTGAGATGCATCCGCTTGGTGGATTTGCGGTACTGCGCTATGCTGTGGTTGAGGATTGTAAGATGGATAGAAAAAATGCATTGGGTGCCGAACTGAAGAGACGGAAACTGAAGATTGTCTTTAAGTTCCAAAGTGGAAATCACGTCGAAATGAGGTCCGGAGCAGTCGCAAAGGCAGAACATACCAATTCAGGCTCCTTAATTTTTGTGAAAAATCTCGGAAGGTCTGCAACAGAGGAGGAGGTTAGCAGTTTGTTCCCGAAAACGAAGGTCGTCAGCATGCCTAGGAAAGGGAAGGCGTGCAGGGGGTAGGTTTGCCGTCGTTGATGAGTGACTTGTCCTTTTTAATGCTCCTCGAGAAGTCTGTGGAGTTTCGCTTAAGGACGAAATGAAGGGACATCTTCATCTGATGGTAGTCTTACATAAAGTTATAAAACGCGCTTATTGGAAGTTAGGATGGTGTATGACATATGTGGATGGAAGCGTCTTCTTTTTTTCGAATTTGTTGCTTTGTAATTGTTCTTCTGTTTCATAGGTATGCTATACTTGATTGTAAGTCTGTTATAGCGGCTAAACGGGTACTGGCCAAGTCTTACGTGCTCAAGGGCCGAAAACTTGTCGTACAAGCAGCGTCCAGTAAAGTATCTGGACTAAATCATTCTACTCCGTGAATTGTAACCATTTTTTGCATAAATCATGGTTTGCGTAAGGTGACTTCTCTTCCGTTAGTTGCATAGACTACGAAAGGCAAAGTGTTTTTCTTTAGGCTTGGATTATTGTTGATTTGAAACTATTTCCGGCCTATACGTTGAGTGTGGCACTCATCAGTGATGTGAAGTCGGCGTTGGAACTAAATAGTGCTTTGCAGTCCGGTCAACTGCCTCTGTCTCCGAACTTATGCGCCATTGTAGATGCTGATTACGTGGCAGATATCACTCAGGTACTACCCTGTAGCTCACCTTTTTCCATCTTTAAGACCGGGCGGTTTTGCTTGGTTTACGCAGATGGAGAATACTGAGTGTGGAGTTACCGAGCTGACGGTTTGCGTCGGCTCCATCCTCCTAAACATTAATTATTGCGTTACTTTGGTATAACGTCTGCGCAATCGTCGGTCATTTTATTCTTAGGTCGAGGTCGCCGCAATACAGGCTTTGACTAACAGAACTGGTGGACGGTTACAGGGCAAAGGGGTGTTTTCGTCGGAGTTCTTGGCATGTCTACAACCGCATCATTCCATTAAGGAAGCGTTAACCACTTTTGGCATCAAAAAGACTACCACAAGAGTGCTTCTAGTTCTTTTGCAGACGCCCGGATCAAGCATGCCTGATTTCGAAAGAATTAACTCACATTTACTCGGTAATTTCGAAGATCCACTCACTTTGCACCAGTCATGCAATCGCGAAAAGATTTCGCAAATCTATGGCATATCTGGCACTGAATTTAAAGGTTTTGGCAACGATGAACAGGCCTATGTGCTCAGCATCCTAACGCGGATGTCTGCTAACTTGTTAATGCGCTGAATACATGAGCTTTTACGTCCGGCCTATTCTGACTAATTTTCATGCTGGAACTTGCTCGGAGAAAGAACTCTAGCTGTGCTAGGGCGTCATGGCCGAGCTAGATTGATGAAATGACTTCTCGCTAGCAGTAAAGTTGTTTTATTTGCTAGTTGGAGTCATATATTCATCCATGCTTATCTTATGGTTATGCATGCATTGCACGGAGGTCCGTCGTCCTTGATGGATCAAACTGGCAAATGCAAAATTAATCCGGTGGGGAATTTGGTTTCTCATCCACACCCCCAACAGGTTTTTGTTTTTATTTGGAAATGGAAGCCGAGGTGAGTATCGACCGGTTCTTGCGGCACTTAAGTGGCGATGTGGTACGGACTGAACGCTTGTCTCCCTTCTTTAAACTTACGGTTGCATGCACGAGCATCGTCATGGCGTAAAAACAGACAGGCTTGGGCAGGTATCGGCGCTATAGTCGAGTTCAAGCAGCTCACCTAAGTATCCTATGATCTCTGGGGTCGCGACGACTTGCTTCAGCGTTTGTTGATGGGACCTCTTGAAAATCACTTCCCCTTACGGTGATCTGGCGCTTTGTCGGGTGCGTTCATGGCTTACAAGCAGTCACTGCCAGAATCGGGCCTGCCAGGCATAAGTGCCTGGTGGGAGCCGAACCCTCTGATCCTGGATGTGCACTGCCAAAAAGGGTCTGCCTCGTCCCCATGTTAGTTGTCCTTCAATCGATAGACAGGCTAAGCATTATAAATCTGGGTGTCTAGTGTCGCCGGGATAGTGCACAGCTCTGATTCCGACCTCCATTTGGTATGTTGGGGTTGGTGTGATAACGGTTACCCTTGTGGTCTAAACTTCAGCTAAACTTTCGCCTCGTGGGCTGGGGTATGAATGCCCGCATGGGCATTCGCGTACCCCACTTCCCCAAGTGCTTTGACGTGTAGTTCGATGCGTCTTTCACTATATGGATATAAAAGTCGTGACTCAGTCGTAGGTGGTCATCCAATTTTACAAATATCCTTTAGCAACCAATGTTCTATACACAAAGCATAAGTAGGGTTGACAGCATGGTAGGGCGGGGGGATCGCGACAAGTTTTAAGTACAAGGGCACGGGGGGACATTTCTGAGCAGCGTCGTTTAATTTTACCAATATAAGGGGAGGAATGCATCGGAAAGGAGAGATCGATCAAACGAAGGCTTTCGCGGCCTGATAGAGCTGAGCCAGGGTGAGCATGTGGACGGGCAGGCATGACCGTCGATCGTTGACGCAGGGATCGTAGGAGAGCCAGGACAGAGCGTTATAGCATTCGAGAACAAAACGCAATACGTCGCAAGTGACGCTCGAGTCGAGTAGGTGGCCTCCTGCCGTGGCAGAATTGGAGGAGGGGCATTGTTGGCCACCGTTGGCTGCTGCATCGTCATCTATCCCCACCAGAGTGCAGTGCAGATGCAGAGAGGATTTCAGACACACTGGGTTGTTGCGACGAGTCTGCTGACAGGCCGCCCAAAACCATGTAGGAAGGGGACCCACTGGCGCCGTGGAGACGTAATATCCCAAAGCTAGTGGCTGCTGCATCAGACTGGGCTTTTCGGACTGTAATTACAGAATGTTTCAAAAGGGTTTGGGTTTGGAACGTCTCAATCATTTACGTTTGTGTAACACAGGGCAGGAGTTTGTGTGACTAAATTAAACCTTCTGAGCTAATCAAGACTTTCGACTGAGGAAGAAAATAACACTAGCAAATGAATGAGAACTTGCGTTAGCAGCGAAGAGCAGACGACATTAAAAAACAGGATATCGATGCAAGAGCGCGTATGTAAATATGCACTTGAAGTTTATCGACCAGAATTGTGGACCTTACCAAAGATTGTGAGCATGACCTATAAACTAGATGACTTAAATGGAGCTGCAGAGTCGCAGCAAATGTATCCAGTGAATAGTGCAATGAAGTGATTAGAGAAGGCTGTCTAGACTCAGTTCATTTAATATCGCACGCAGATAATATTTGGCCTGTGCAA